TTTGTAATCCATATAGTCCTATATTTTTTCTTATAATCTATTTAGTCTTTTGGATGTGTAATGACTCATTTGCTCGTAACATTGGAGTGTCACATTTGAAAAAAGTACATTAAAGAGTTTTTTAGTGTTACATTATACTCGCCACGTTAGAGTGTCACATTTGTAAAAAGTACATTAAAGAGTTTTTGGGTTCGTTTGGTTTGTATTTCTGAAAAAATTTTGGGAAATTTTCTCTGCAAATGAATTTTTAAAAGTTATCAAACCAAACAAATTTTCCCAAAAAAACTTCTCAAAACTTGTAAACCAAACAACTTTTCCAAACAAATCTCTCTCACACACACATCAAATCAATCACTTTTTCCAAAACTCTCTCTCAAAATAATTTTCCAAAACATCTTTTGAAAAAAACCAAACCAAACAACTTTTCGTACTTTTTATCTCGAAAACACATCTCTCAAACACAAACCAAACGTACCCTTTAATTTTTTTAGAGCGTCACATCATACCTGACACGTTTAGCAAAAGTACACTAAGGTTTTTTAAGTTTTTTAGAATGTCACATCATACCTACCACATTATCATATTTGAGAAAAATACACTAAGGAGTTTTTAATTATTTTTAGAGTGTCACATCATACCCGCTATGTTGTCATATTTGAGAAAAGTATACTAAGGAGTTTTTAATTTGTTTAGAGTGTTACATCATAGCCGTCACATTGTCACATTTGAAAAAAGTACACCAAGAAGTTTTTATTTTTTTGGAGTAAAAGTTTTGGAGTGTCACATTATACCCGTCACGTTGTCACATTTAGAAAAAGTACACTAAGGAGTTTTTAATTTTTTTTAGAGTGCCACATCGTTGGAATGTCACATCGTTGGAGTGTCACATTAATACCTGCCAAATTAAAGTATCACATCATACTTGTCACATTAATAAAAGGGTATAGTTGTCCACCAAAACACTACCAAAATAAAAAATATGACCACACAGAAAGAAACTCTCCACTAGTAGGACTTAACAGATCAATAGAAAAACTTGAGACTAATTGGAGTACTTGTTTATGAGATGAGATTTATTGATCAATATCCCTTTAATTATTATTAACTTAATTATCTTTTGCACTTGTATTTTAGAATTGATATCAGAGATTAATTTCTTAATTTTGTCATATTAATATATGAGCATTAGGTACATTGAAGAAGTTGAATAAAATAATTTAAATAATAGTATTGCACTACAAATAATTATTGAACAAAATACGCCTATCCTCGGGTAATTAAAAGAATTTAATGAAAATCTTAAAGAAATTCAATTAGAAATTATATACTAAGTGTGACGTCTATTATTAGATAAAAGCAATTAGTTAGCTCTTGTAGAAAATAATATAGATAATTATCCTTATCCTTATTCTTGCAAGGAACTCTCCAAGGGAATGTTTTGAATTAATACCACTAGAAAAATAAAAAATTGATCTAAGTAATTATAATTTGAGGGACTTACGTTTAGGTCATAATAAGTAGACTTATTTGTATAATAGATCTTATGATAATTAATGAAATTTTTCATCAAATACTATTAAAAAACGTCATTAATTGTTAATTTTCAGTGACGGTTTAAAAATTGTCACAAAAAATATAGCTAATTATAAGTTTTAGCGACAGCTTAAAAAAATCGTTGCAAAAATAGTCATTAATTTTCAACTTTCAATGACAGTTTGAAAAATTCATCATAGAAAAATGTTACTAACGATAAGTCTCAGCGACAATTTATAAAAATTATGATAAAAAAAAAGTCAGTAATTGTTAATTTTTATCACAAAAAATTATTTTTAGTGACGATTTTACTATGGCTTATTTTCAATAAGACTTGATGGAAATTAAGTCCAACTATTAGGACCTATTAGTAGTTTACCGTTATAATTTAGACGAATTATAAATAATGGTGGTACAAGACAAATATAATGAAATGAAATATAAAATAATATTAGAAATAGTAAAAAATAAGATAAAATGGATAATTGCGTATTAGAACAGAAATAGAAGACCTATATAAGTAAGGAGGTACTTACGTGTAAGTCCTAATAAGTGGATTTATTGTCTAATAAATTCTATGAAAAAAATTTGTCATAAAAACAAGTCATAAATTATAAGTTTTAGCAACAATTATAAAAGTCGTGACAAAAAAAATTACTAATTGTCAATTTTTAGCGACATATGTAAAGAATTGTCATAAAAAAATTATTTTTAGCAACAATTTTACCAAGACTTATTTTCAATAGGACTTGATGAGAATTAAGTCCAACTATTATGACCTATTGGTAGTTTACCCTAAGGGGAATGAGTAATTAGAATTAATCAGCCTGAAAGAAATATACCAATTATAAAACTATACGTGTAGAGGATAATTAAGTTAATAATAAATTAAAATCTGGGTCATAATTTTATCTATCATTTAAGGTTATGTTCTGTTTTAATATTATCTTATGGACTAAATTGATTCGAATTTAATACTTTAGAATAGGAGTGAACAGCAGATATACCGATCCGCCCAAACCAAACGAACCGAACCGATCCGCCGCATTTTGGACGAATGCGTGATAACGAACGAACGGTTGCGGATTGATTTTTTCCAATCCGCCTAGTTTTAGACGGATGGCGGATTTGAGGTTCATTTGGCCGCAACCGAACCGTCAAACCGCCGAGCATCCCTAGTAATTTGTAAGACTTTGTATTTTCAATCTGTTTATATATTCTATTTGCGTTTTCAATTGAAAAAGAGTTTAAATATTCTAGTGAATATATTATGTTGAAAAATAGTTTTCAACTTAAATATATTTTTTAAATTGAAAAAAATAAATGTATTAGTTATCTATATATTTTAGTTTTTAAATCTAACTCTAAAAATAATAAAAATGAAAGATTATATATGCTAGTTGGTTTTTGTTTTCAAAAAAAAAAAAATATAGATGTAACAATACAAAGACATACAATTTCTATTACTGCTCTGTTTATGGTTTTGATGGTTTGAATTGTTTTTATATTTTAAAAACCACATATTATAATACTTTATGTAGATGAGGTATGCTATGATTGTAATATATGAATAAAGTTTCAAACTTTCTTTCTTTGGATGAGGCATGCAGTGATTGTAATATTCTGTTAAGTCATTGACTGTAATTTTTATTTTTATTTTTTGAGAAAGTGCACAAGTTGAATTATGTTAAAAATTTATAAAATTTTAAACCACCAAACCGATTCGCATTCATCCGCCAATCCGCTCAATCCATATCAGTCGGATTAGCAGACGGATGCGGATTGATTTTTTCCAATCCGCCAATCTGGTAGACGAATGGCGGATTGAAAGTTCTATGGCCGCAACCGACCCGCGCCCACCCCTACTTTAGAATAATTGACAAAATTGAAACTTTAAGAATTTAAATAAAAATGTATTAAACTTTAAGGACTATAATTGTAATTTATCCTTTTAGCCAAAAATATATAGCACAGAAATTTTTTGAAAGTTATCGCACAAAGTTGACCAAATTTGTCATTGTAAACATATCTGACATTTTTATTACTGCCCTTACATTTTTACTAAAATCTCATTTTAATCATTACACTTTTACCAAAATCTCATTTTAGTCCCTCTACTTTTAATTTTCGTTAGCTCTATTAACAGTAGATAGATGAAACTTGATTTAAAGTATACGAGTTGACTGTTACGATTGACTAAAATGAGATTTGAAGATTGACTATTACGATTGACAGCCTAAAGCAAGGATTTGGTAAAAGTGTAAGGATCTTAAGTGTAAATTATCCAAAGTATAATTCAACTAATTACTTTTCAAGCCATATGTCAATAGAAACTAAGACAAATAAAATAAAAATAAATCAAAACTCACAAATGAAAGTCAATATCTCATAAGTATTTATAATTTATTAGTATTAAATAATCATTTTAGAAACAAGGAATATATATATAAAAAAAATCAAAATTTTCTTATTATTAAAACAAGAGGTAATATATAAATAAAATAATAAAAAATATAAAAATTAATTAGTAAATAAGTCTAATTAATAGGATATTTGCAAGTGTTTATTTTTAATAAATATTTCCAATTAAATCAACAAGAAGATCAAGAAAAGCAATCAGAAATAAAAAAAGAAGATTCAAAAGGCCCCGTTTAGTGTAGCTGTTAAAACAGCTTGTCGATTATTGCTTAACAAATTATAGATTATGACTTTAATTAGAAGTTGTTAATCTGTTTGGTGTAACTGTTGGATTATAGATTTAAATTGCTGAGTAGTGTTTGTTAATAAACTGTGAAATAGCTTTTTCAATTAATTTTTATTTTTTGTTATTTATTATTTGTCTACATTTCTCACAAAAAAAAATAATAATAATCTATAGTCCATTTGGGTCTTTTTCTATTTTTTTAAAAATAAAAAATAAAAAAAATCTAAGAGTATAACCATATATTAACATGTCCATAGCAGAAGCTGATAATCAGAAGCAAAGGGTGAGCAGTTTCTCAGAATTAGCTTTTTTGAGTTAAAATAAGCTGTTAGAATCAGAAACTATTTGAAATAAGTTTAACCAAACAGTCCAAAATAACTTTTTCAAAGCTAAAAGCTATAAGTTAGCTTTGGAAAGCTGAAACAAACACCCCCGAAGACGATGATGATGATTAAGATGATGAATTTGATGTGAACAAAGAGACCGGTCGGTGCTCTAATTTCTAAAAAAAAAAATTATTTGATCAAATATTTAGTATTCTGTTGAAATGTAGGACTTTTTTTCTTTGATTTTGATTGTTGATGAGGGTTGAAATTGGAGACTTCAAACCCACCATCATCCCCTTCCTCAATGAGCTCGTGATTGAATCATTCTCTAGATTTACTGCAGATTGGCCATTAGTGATATGCATTCTGATACTACGTTGATATGTAAACATAAATCTTTCTGATACAAAGTGCACCATTTGTAAGACGACTATTAATACAAAGGCAATGCACAAGATGTAGTATTGAAAGGCCATAGTAATACATTGATAAACAATTAATTATACACTCATTGGTGAGAACAATAAGATTAATTCCTATTATATAGTCAACAACTTCTTAGAAAAATATTACTAATTCATTCTCTCATTCAGATTTAGAAATTACTTCTAACTCACTATTAAAAGTGCTCCCACCTGTTGTTCCCCTCGTTGGCATTGGATTTGTGGAGGCAAATGGACTGTGGGGGACTGTTAGAGTCTCTCCATTTCCTTCCAACATTTGTACCACAACTTTCATCGATGGTCGATCCACTGAGTACCATTGTATGCACCAAAGTCCCACAATTGTTAGTTTCCTTATAATTTCCGCATCCCCGTCTTCCTCAATTTGTATTCCTAGATCTTCTCCTTGATCCAAACGTTTGTATATCCATTCCGGAAAATAACACTCACTCGTGTTTTGTGCTACCGTATTTTTCCTCCCTCCAACCATATCTAGCAACAACATCCCAAAACTATAAACATCTGATTTGTATGACACGTTCCCAAAGTTCCTGGAGAACACTTCGGGTGCAATGTAACCCACAGTCTCTCTAGCAGTAGTCATGGAAACAGCACTTTGTTCCTTTGAACACAATTTTGCTAGACCAAAATCAGAGATCTTCAGGGTAAACTTATTATCTAACAAGACATTGTGAGGCTTAATATCGAAGTGCAGGATTCGTTGATCACACCCTAGGTGAAGATATTCAATTCCTTTAGCTATGCTAAGAGCAATGTCATGCAACTTCTCCCAACCAAGTGAATTCTTCTCTTTCTCAGTGGATATAAACTTTTCAAGCGAATTGTTTGGTAAGAACTCATAAAGAAGAGCTCTTCTGAATCCGTCAGCACAATATCCCACCAAGCGAACCACGTTGATATAGTGGATTCTACCCATTGTTTCCACTTCATTGATGAACTCATCTCCATTTCCTTTCACATTGTTGAGGATCTTGACCGTGACATGAACATCATTGGAAAGCTTGCCCTTGTACACTATTCCGTAACCTCCTTGGCCTACTTTGTCATGAAATTGATTTGTTATTTTCTTGATATCTACAAAGGAATATCTTGCAGGCTTGAGAGCTTTGTAATCCTCCAAAAATTTGTCAATCTTTACTTGATCTGCTTTCTTCATTTTGTTTGATCTGTAGCCATGATATATTGCAATGACAACTACAAGAAGAAAAGTTGGACCTAGGACTGCCCCTGGAATCATAATAGACCATGTTAGTAAATTTCTACCTCCTCGCTGACAATTGAAATTATGAGAGAATAGACCACTTCACCTACAATCTTTAGCTTCGTCAATGCACCTGTAAAGTTTGAAGATTTCTTAAATTCCACACATATATATATATAATTAAAAAAATTTACAGTAGATTCATAATAAACTAAGTAAAAGAAACTGACATGATACAATCAAATATCCAAATAGGGTTAAATCTTCTCATATACTAGTTCAACTATATCAGCAATTAACATAGGCTTAAATCAAGTTTGGACCTCAACGCATGCTCCATTGGGTGCACTATTTCTAACAAAAAGCCACACAACCTAATCTATATGGCAAGACTTTATCATCCTCCCACAATCAACAAGACTAGGTAATTCAATAGATCAAAACAAAACAAGGGCATTGAAGCTAAAATGATCTTGTAGCACGAGGGTGTTGGATTAAATTTTTTTATTTGCATATACTGTTGAGTTTTAAATAGGTAAACAAAATCTAAACCACTGATTTGTAAAATTACCGACGTTGCGCACATCCAAAACTCGGATTGGATTTCCAGATCCAAACTGGAGAGAACGTAGGCCCGAATTTCAATTCAAAATTGTGGTGGAAGACAACATCATCAGTGTAAAGCCAACGCAATAATTACAGATGAGATAAGATGGTAAACAAATATAATAATCGTAACTTGAAGTAAGAAGGTAGAAACTAGCTAGAGTAGACGTGTACCTTGTTTGGGCTTGTCAAAGCATTCAGTTGATCCATTTAATAATAATTGGCTTTTGCTGCTACTGCTGTTGTTGTTATTCTTGAATCTACAATTCTTGCCTCGTGCTTTACATCTCCCACATTCCAGTTTACTCCAATCCAATCGAAGATCATCAAATGTGATGGGGCCATAATAACTATGACGAAGAATTTCATATGGAAGTGACATGTTGTACATCTTTGTGCAAGAAATATCCAGCAACGACATAGAATCGATGGCATAAACCTAGTGACTCTGGTCACTAAGGCAAGCAATAAACCCATTTTCAAGCCCATTTGGATCTTGTGTCTAGGAACAATTGATGAAGCTAAGGTCGCAGTGGTAGTCGTAATTTGATAGGAATTGGAAGGGAGAGGCAAATAAGTTGAGGTTTGGAAACTGTCGTGGGAAGCATCCATGGGGGTCAGATATATATATGGTCTGAGATGTGTAGTTAATATTCTTAACAAAAACATTGACAGAAAATGGAAGCTCGAGGACAGGGTATTTGCTATGAGGAGTGCAAGAAAGATCAAAGCCAGGATACCCACAGTTTTTGGGGTGATGCCCTTTGAGCCGGAAAGGGAATCGGATTTCAGGGCTGTGATGATTACTGCAACTTGTTGGGAGGCACTCAGCATGTTGTTCTTCTGCTCCTCCTCCGAGTCCAACTACTGTAGCTGCTGCAGCCGTTGGAACTAATAATATGACTATAAAAAGCAACAAAATTCCTTGGAAAATTGCCATCTTAATTAATTAATTTAATGGCTAATATTTGATACTCTGAAACCAAATCCCAATTGCTCTGCCAAGTGTGTGTTGTTTGTCGTGGAAGAATTTGCTAATGGCGGTGTTGTTGGGTTATATAGACAAATTTTGTTCCTAGGAAAAAAAAAAATTCACTAATTTATATTGGAACAATTTTCTGTGTAAAATAAATAAATTTGAAACAAATCAAACAAATAAAAATAAATTACTTACAGAATTTATTTTACTAAAATGAATAAGTACAAAATTAGACCAAGTCGAGTGTGTGATACTCTGTTCTTAAGACAGATTCGCCCCGTTTCAGTACTTATGGACAAATGGCGTCTATCTCCCAAGATATAATAATCTTCACAAATTGTAATAGCACTCCAAACAATTTGTACGGCGAACTAGAACCTGTATTATATACTCTTAGAATTTTTTCCTAAAAAACTAATATGTAGAATAATGCAAAGAGAGCACAAATGAGAGGCAAGCAAAGGAATTTCGGAATGAATAAATCTGCTGGAAAGGTTCTGCTTTTATAGGACCGAACAGGTACAAGTTTGAATTTAAATGGAACAGCTGCGAAACAGTTTGAACAGATGCAAAAGTCAAACTGTCAAACTGTTTGAATTTGTCTGGAACACGACTGAATCTATCCGGTGCAACAGGTTGAAAACAGTTTGAACTTGCTGAAAGAGGATCACAAAGGCACTGCTATGGACAAAAAATTTGAATTCAAATTTGGTGTAAAATTTGAATTAATTTTGTTTAGAAAAAATAATTTTTCCAGCAAGAAATTTGAAATTAATTCAAATAAATTAATATTAGAACAGACCCACAACCCACACCTCGCACCCGAACCCGACCTGGCCAAGCAAACAGTGACGGCGGCGCGCGCTCGTGTGGTGGTTTGAGCCAAGGCTCACTTTGTCCATAACTCCTCCCTTCTACAAACTTGGAGTGCCCCTTGGGGCCCAATCTAAGTTTGTCCACCTAGAGCTTATATACATACATAAGCTCTCTCAAAGTTTCAATGTGGGACAAGCCGTACAAGAAAATCTATATTTTATTCTTTAATTGTCCATTCCACGAACCCGAAAACGACGTCAACTTCCCCTTCACTCATAAATGGTTTTGACAATCTGTCTTTACCGACAAGGAACACGTCACCTCTTTGGACCCACCCCAAAAAACGTGTGGGCCCTACTCAAATTTGGGCTCAAAGTTGGCCTAAACTCAACCAACCTGTAACCAACCCGCTCAACACATCCTATAACTCAAATACAACGTAAGAAAGGATGTAAACAAGATAATAAACAACTACCAACATCCACGGACACATGTCCGGATCACGGTATAACAAGGGTAAACCCGGGATCGCTATAGGACCCACCCCAAAAAACGTGTGGGCCCTCCTCAAATTTGGGCTCAAAGTTGGCCTAAAATAAACCTATAACAACCATTTTTTCCAACAATCCCCCACATAATGGAATTTGACGGAGAGAAAATGCAACAACATGATCTAATTACAGAGAGTACAGAAATTGGAAATATTTTGCAAAAGATAGGTAGCTTTTGGCTTTGAACCTTCCCTTGTAAGACACTATCGGATTTACTAGCTAACCAGTAAACATGATGTCTTGAACTATTCAGCCGTTTGTATAAACCAAGACAATAGAACTCACACAGTATATCACCAAACACAATTTAGTTCTCACTATTGTGTTCATTTTGGCCTTGAATAACCTGGTCTTTCATGAGTGCTCTAGAGAATTGTAACCCTTTACAAATCTCATAGAACCGGCCCAATTCACACTCATATAGGTGATTCTTATGAAGAGTATCTTGCCATACTCTACTAGGTATTCCTAGACATAAGAATCATTAAAAGTATTACTTAACCTAAAACGCTGCAAACATCACTATTTCATCATAGAAATGGGTAAGAGTTTGACCCCCCAGTGATCTTTCTGAGTCATACACAACTCAGTTGTCCCTTTAAACCTAGATCTTAGGATCTCTACTCAACTAGGTTGGGTTGCCGTTGTAGTAATTCTTATTTAATAGACTTAAATCCCATTCCCCTCGATGAATTCTCAACTAACTCTCTTGCTACCCCTATGGTTAGTGGATCCACTATGTTGTCTTTAGACTTTACATATTCAATAGAAATAATTCTATTAGAAAGTAGTTGTCTCACGATGTTATGTCGACGATGTATGTGTCGTAACTTACCATTATATATATGACTCTATGCTCTACCTATTGTTGATTGACTATAACAATGTATGTATATAGCAGGCACCGGTTTTGGTCACATTGGAATATCTTCAAGGGAGTGACGAAGCCATTCTGCTTCTTTCCCAGCTTTATGTAAAGTTATAAATTCTGATTCCACAATAGACCTAGCAATACAAGTCTGTTTGAAAGGTTTCCAAGATACAACCGCCCCACCAAGAGTAAAGACATACCCACTGGTGGATTTTGAGTCTCTAGTATTTGATATCCAGTTTGCATTACAGTATCCTTCAAGTAGTACTGGATATCTAGTATAATTGAGCCTAATGTTACGACTAAATCGGAGATATTTTAGAACCCTTATAATAGCTTTCTAGTGTTTTACTCTTGGATTACTCGTATATCTACTTAATTTACTTACTGCATAAGCTATATCTGGGCGAGTGCAGTTCATCAAGTACATTGAGCTTCCAATAATTTGGGCATACTCTAATTGAGAAATACTTTTCTATACATTCTTAGGAAGAAACAAATTAATATCCACAGATGTTCTAGCAAGATGATCATTATCTTTGCTTAATTTTTCAGGTATTTTCTCAATGCAATGTGATTGTAACAAAGTATAACCTTCTAATGTTTTTAATATAAACACATTTGTCACATTCATTAATTTTGAATCCATTTGACATCATTGCCTTGTCAAATTTCTCATGCTATTGCTTTGGCGCTTGTTTTAAACCATATGATGATTTAACCAATTTACACACTTTCTTTTCTTTTCCTGGAACAAAAAATCCTTCTGGTTGTTCCATGTAAATGTCTTCATCTAACTCACCATTTAAGAAAGCGGTTTTCATATCCATTTGATGAATCTCTAGATTGTACAAAGATCCAATGGCGATTAGCATTCTAATAGATGTTATTCTAATAACTGGTGAGTATGTGTCAAAGTAATCAAGACCTTCTTTTTGTCTAAGTTCTTTGACCACAAGTCTTGCCTTGTATTTGTCAATTGATCCATATGTTTTCATTTTTCTTTTGAAAATCCACTTGTACCCAAGAGGTTTACAACTTTGTGGCAAATCCACCAATTCCCAAGTGTGATTTTGCAAGATGGATTCAACTTCACTATTGACAACCTCTTTCCATAAAGGAGCCTCAGGATTAAACATCGCTTCTTTAAAAGTTAAAGGCTCATTTTCTAACAAAAAAGTTAGAAAATCTGGACCAAAAGATTTTGAGGTTATAGAATGTTTACTACGCCTAGGTTCCTCTTCCTTATTCTGATCTATCT